TATTATTATTACTATTATTATCATCATCATTATTATGATTATTATTATTAACAATAATAATATTGGTATTATTAGTACTTTCATAATTATTATTATTATTTCTCTTATTATTATTATTATTATTATTATTATTATTATTATTATTATTTCTTGTATAATTATTATTAATATTATTACTACTATTGTTATTATTATTATTATTATTAATATTATGCCTTTTTCTTGGCAAAGAAAAACTGAACTAATAACTTAAAATAACGCACCCTTGAGCGCAGGAAGGTTAACTGTGCTCGTGGGCCTCCTCCAGACACAGCAGAACATCACAGACTTCATCAATTCTCATCGGGAAGAGGCATTTCTATTTAAGCTCCATCTCGACACCCAATACATCAATTTAATGATTTCTCCCTTCTCTTATGTGCTCATCTCTGAACTAAATGTAGGATTTAAGGGCAGCGTGATGAGCTGGACATCATCTCAGCCAACGGAAGAAATGCATGAAGACTGTTAACATGCAGACGTGGTGAGATTAAAGCAAGATAGGACTGATAATCGACTGAATTTAACATATAACCTGATTAAAGATAAGCACTGAGTCCTTAACTGAAGACACACACTCTGACTGGATCATTTGAATCAGTGAGTCATTTACTGAAGACTCACACTCTGACTGGATCATTTGAATCAGTGAGTCGTTTACTGAAGACTCACACTCTGACTGGATCATTTGAATCAGTGAGTCATTAACTGGAGACTCGCACTCTGGCTGGATCATCTGAATCAGTGAGTCATTAACTGAAGACTCACATTCTGACTGGATCATTTGAATCAGTGAGTCATTTACTGAAGACTCACACTCTGACTGGATCATTTGAATCAGTGAGTCATTAACTGAAGACTCGCACTCTGACTGGATCATTTGAATCAGTGAGTCATTAACTGAAGACTCACACTCTGGCTGGATCATCTGAATCAGTGGGTCATTAACTGAAAAATCCCATTCTGACTGGATCATTTTCATCAATGATTGGGATCAAAACAAAATCAATCGCAGGTTGCCAGATTGAGGGCAGGAGCGAATGATTTAAACCGTGTTCTTAATAAAAGCAGCTTATTTAGAACATGGTTTAAATCATTTGATTCTGCCCTCAATCTGGCAACCTGCGATTGCCTTTGTTTTGATCCATAAGTGCAATACCTAGTTCAACCACTGGGTGTCAAACTTACCTACTGCACCATTAAGAACCAACACAACAGACTTTAAAACCACATCTGAGAAACGAAGACGAGCTCTTACTTTGCAGATCACCATATCACACTTCATCAAGAGTCTGAATAGCCTTTTACAATGTATGACAAAAGACCAACCCAAATCTGATGACGGATTATAGAGGAGCTGTAAGCATGTGCATCTGATCAACATGCAGCGCACACACACACACACACACACACACACACATTCTCAGTACCAGTAGCACTTGCTGTTGTTGTCCAGAAGTTTCTCCACCATGTGCTCCACCCTTATAAACCAGCTGGGCACTGCTTTGTAGATCAGCGGCGTGTCCGACCTGCAAACCAACGAGTTGTTCAATATTTAAACATCTGAAACATTAAATTACTTATGATATCATCACATGGCAGGACTAACTGTGCCAGATGACAAAATGTAAGATTGTCATGGAAACCTCTAGTATGCCGACCCCTAGTGACCATTTGAATCAGTGAGTCATTACCTGAAGATTCACATTCCGACTGGAACATTTGAATCAGTGAGTCATTAACTGAAGATTCACACTCCGACTGGATGATTAAATCAGTGAGTCATTAACTGAAGACTCACACTCCGACTGGATGATTGAATCAGTGAGTCATTAACTGAAGACTCGCACTCCGACTGGATGATTAAATCAGTGAGTCATTAACTGAAGATTCGCACCTTGACTGGATCATTTGAATCAGTGAGTCATTAACTGAAGACTCACACTCCGACAGGATGATTGAATCAGTGAGTCATTAACTGAAGACTAACACTCCGACTGGATGATTGAATCAGTGAGTCAATAACTGAAGATTCGCACCTTGACTGGATCATTTGAATCAGTTTGTGATTAACTAAAGAATCGCACTCTGAATGGATCATCTGAATCAGTGAATCATTAACTTAAGATTCGCACTCTGACTGGATCATCTGAATCATTGAGTCATTAACTGAAGACTCACACTCTGACTGGATCATTTAAAAAAGTTTGACTCTTGGTCCAGTGTTTTCAGATTCACACAGATCCTGAAGTTCTTGATATCAGATAAAGATCATGTTTGACCTCATGTTCTCATTCTAATTCTCAGCGGATCGACTGTCAATAGCACCGATGCATTCCCACTGACAAACATCTTCAACACCTATAATGCTCCTCTGTCTGCACTCCTGAGAGTGATTTATTGATGGCGTCAGCAAGTGTGTGTGTTTGTGTGCGCGTATGTGCGTGTGTGTATGTGTGTGTGTGTGTGTATATTAATGAGGCACCACTGTGACCTCTGTGAACACATGAGGAGCTGAAGCAGCAGGTTCATCATGAGCACCGAATGCTAATCAAACACTGCAATATTCAGGATATGCTACTGACTAAACACTGGCCTTACAAAATAGTTGCATAAATGATGCATTATAGACTTTATTGATTTAATATTTATTAATTTAATATTATTGATATTTTTATTATATTATTATTTATTATTTATTTTTTATAATATTATTTTTTTATTAATATTGCAAAAGAAATGACTAAAAAATAAAATAAAAATAAAAATGGAAATAAATGTATATGTGTGTTACTCTTAATTTTTCCTCTTTTGACAGCATTGATGCTGTAAAGAAGAACACTAACTGTGCATACTGTCCATTCAAGATTTTAAATGAACACTAGCTGTGCATACTGTCCATTCAAGATTTTAAATGTTAAAACAGGGTGTTCTGGGAAATGCTATGAGACCACGGTCACATACAATAATCCTGAACACCTCTACCAATGATTAGACACAAATGAAGTGTACAGTCATCATCAGAGTGTGCAGTACGTCTCTCACCTCCAGCAGAACGGGTAGCTGTGCTTGAAGGAGCTGGCGCTCACCAGACGTCCGTTCTCCTTCAGCCACTTGATGATGTTTTTGTCTGCATCCTGGAAAACACAGAGGACAGTAGAGCAGAATGTCAGAGAGCGTGCAGAGAATTAAAGCAGAGCTGGACTGAAGCCCTGATGCAGACACTGATGGAGAAGCTCAGACTATACTGCAGACTGAGCTGTGCGCTCTGTGTTCCTCCATGACCCCACAACACTGACTGCACATCCACTGGCTGACCTGTGCCAAACACTCTTAGAGAGGAAGAGAGGGAGAAAGGGAGGAAGGAAGGAAGGAAGGAAGGAAGGAAATGAAGGAAGGAAAGAAGGAAGGAAAGAAGGAAGGAAGGAAGGAAGGAAGAGGCAAAAAAGGAAATGAAGGAAATAACGAAGGAGGAAAGAAAGAAGAGGAAGGAAAGGAAAGGAAATGAAGGAAGGAAGGAAGGAAAAGGCAAAAAAAGGAAATGAAGGAAGTAACGAAGGAGGAAAGAAAGAAGAGGAAGAGGAAGGAAGGAAGGAAGGAAGGAAGAGGCAAAAAAGGAAATGAAGGAAATAACGAAGGAGGAAAGAAAGAAGAGGAAGGAAAGGAAAGGAAATGAAGGAAGGAAGGAAGGAAAAGGCAAAAAAAGGAAATGAAGGAAGTAACGAAGGAGGAAAGAAAGAAGAGGAAGAGGAAGGAAGGAAGGAAGGAAGGAAGAGGCAAAAAAGGAAATGAAGGAAATAACGAAGGAGGAAAGAAAGAAGAGGAAGGAAAGGAAAGGAAAGGAAATGAAGGAAGGAAGGAAAGAAGGAAAAGGCAAAAAAAGGAAATGAAGGAAGTAACGAAGGAAGAAAGAAAGAAGAGGAAGAGGAAGGAAAGAAGGAAGGAAGGAAGGAAGGAAGAGGCAAAAAAGGAAATGAAGGAAATAACGAAGGAGGAAAGAAAGAAGAGGAAGGAAATGAAGGAAGGAAGAGGCAAAAAAGGAAATGAAGAAAGTAACGAAGGAGGAAAGAAAGAAGAGGAAGAAGGAAATGAAATGAAGGAAGGAAAGAAGGATCAAAGGAAGGAAAGAAGAAAAAGAAAAGAGATGAAGGAATGAAGGAAAGGTGGAAGGAAAAAATGAAGGAAGAGTGGAAGAAGGAGAAGGAAAATGGAAGAAAGGTAGGAAGGAAGGGCCAAGGATGGAAGGAAAAAAGGAAGGGAAAAAAGAAAGAGGAAAGGAAAAAAACGAAAAGGAAGGAGAGGAGGAAGAGGAAAGAAGGAAGGAAGGAAGGAAGGAAGGAAGGAAGGAAGGAAGGAAGGAAGGAGGGAAGGAAAAACAAATGAAGGTTGGAAGGAAGAAAAGGAGGAGGAAAATGGAAGTAAGGAAGGAAGGAAAATGAGGAAAATGGAAGGAAGGAAGAGAGGAAGAGAGAAAGGAAAGGAAATGAAAGAAGGAAGGAAAAAAGGAGGGAAGGATAAAATGAAGGAAGGAATGAAGGAAGGTGGGGAGGAAAGAAAGAAGGAAAAAAGGAGGAGGAAAAAGACAGAAGGAAGGAATAAAGAAAGAAAATGTGAAGGGAAATGGATAAAAGGAAGGAAGGAAAGGAAAAAAGGAAGACAAGGAAGAAAGGAAATGAAGAAAGAAAAGTAGGAGAAAAAAGAAAGAAGGAAGAAAATGAGAAGGGTAAAGGAAGGAAGGTGGGGAGGAAAGAAAGGAGGAAAAAAATGGAAGGAAGAAAGGAAAAAAATAAGGAAGGAATGAGGGGAGGAAGGAAGGAAGGAAAGAAAGAGGCACTTGATGATCATGTAGGTGTTACTACCTTCCAGTGTAAGATTAAGCACAGCTCCAGCAGTTTGGAGATTCTCATGAACACTGAATCCTGCTTTTTGCTCTTTACTGATCAAGAGCTCAAAGCTGATCCATCTACAGCTGCAGCTTCACACACACACGCACGCAGACAGACACACACTTCCCTGCTGCTGCTTATTCTCTTCCTCTCTCCGCATTGCCGTCTCTCTGCAGAACTCTAATGCTAATTCTCTTTAATGGAAAGCGTCCGCTCGGTCACTCCGTTTGTCCTTGGAGCTCAATTGGCTCCTGTTTTATGCAGAATCGATTTCAGGAACCTTTTCTTAACCCGCACAACCTCATGAAGGCAGTCTGAAAACTTTACACCACTGCAGAGTTCACACACTCATTTATCATTAACAAACACACACATGTTTGTTTTTGTGAAAAGTGGGGACATCACATAGGTTTCCATTCATTTTATACTGTCCAAACCGTATATTGTATTGCCCTCACCCCACCCCTAAACCCAACCATCACAGGAGACTGTGTCCAGCTTTACTCTCTGATTAAACTCATTCTGTAGGATTTATAAGCATTTAGAGAAACGAGGATGTCACCAATGTCCTCATATTTCACCTCCTGTTTGTAATACCTGTGTCATACCAATGTCATTATACAGATTTATGTCCTGATATGTCACAAAAACACGTACACACACACACACTATACTGAGAATGTCAAGAATCTTTATTGTTAATATAAAAACATTTTGGCGACGCAGTGGCGCAGTAGGTAGTGTTGTTGTCTCACAACAAGAAGGTCGCTGGTTCGATCCTCGGCTCAGTTGGCGTTTCTGTGTGGAGTTTGCATGTTCTCCCAGTGTTCGCGAGGGTTTCCTCCGGGTGCTCCGGTTTCCCCCACAGTCCAAACACATGCGGTACAGGTGAATTGGGTAGGCTAAATTGTCCATAGTGTATGAGTGTGTGTGTGAATGAGTGTGTGTGAATGTTTCCCAGAGATGCGTAAAAACGTGCTGGATAAGTTGGCGGTTCATTCCGCTGTTGCAACCCGGGATTAATAAAGGTACTAAACCGACAAGAAAATGAATGAATGAATGATTGATTAAGATATTTTTGATTGGCAATTCTTGGCATGAGGCACACAGTAATAAATATGATTATGATGAAATGTGATTATAAAATATAATGTGCATATTATCTCTGTAAAAAAGTTGATTCTGGATTTATTAAGTGAGATAAATGAATGAATTATTGATTTAATAAAAATAATAAATGCATTTATAAATTTTTATTAATTAATAATACATTTATATCAATTAATAAATAACAAAAAATTACAATTAACATAAAATTAACCAACAAAAGATAAAAATCATGCAAAACATTTTGAACTAAACGATAGATTTAATCGGCCTGATAGATTTGGCTGAAAATCATGTCTGAAAAAAATTATTTATATTTATCTGCCCATAAATCAGCTACACTGAAAAAAATTATTCAGAGATGATTCCTTGGATTTACTACATTTTTTTATGTTAAGAGGTTGTAAACATATTATTTGGGCTGAATTTAAACAAACAAATTAAGTTGAACATTGTTAAACTTAATTTGTTTGTTTAAATTCAACACAAATAAATTTTTTGCAACAGTTTTGCATGCAACACTTTTTTCAGTGTAAAAGTCATGCAAAAATAATTGAGAAAATGTAATGTTTATATTTGTTGGCCTATATATCAGCTATCAGCCTGAAAATCTCCAGGGAAATCGGTCTCGCTCCAAAAAATCCACATCAATGCATCCCTAGTAAACAAACTCCAGTGTCTCTGCATTACAGACAGCAGTGAGCCGTAATGAGTGATTCTGCAGAGAGAAGTGTCCAAACACAACATGACAGAGCAGAACTATGACTTCTCTGGCACCAGCCTGAACTGCTGACATCAGCAATCCCACAATGCCACCCAATCACACCTCAATGTCACAGCATTGGAAATACACCATCGTCTGTGCATTCGGCTCCACAGAGA